ACTTAAACTCACGCCTGGCGCGTGTGCGTGCGTGCCCAAGATCCCGAGAGGAGAATGGAGGAGAAGGGATTGCGGCGTGACCATCCCCCCCTGGGGGGTGATTTCTCACTCTCTGTCTCTCTGTCTCTCTCTGTCTGTCTGGTGAGCACACACGCCCTAGAGCAAAAACCTCTCCAAAAAAAAACCCCAAAACAAACAAGCATGAGAACATTTGTTTTTTTTTGGAAAACAAGACAGAAGAGCAAAGGATGAAAAACAAAAAAAGCTGCAGAAGTTTAAAAGCCCCGCCCAGCCCTCCGCCCCTCAGCCCGGGGTTTCAGATCAGCGCCGTGAGCCCCCGAGCTCTTGAGACAGGCCAAAAAGTGAAGAGATGCTAGGAAGTACCCCGTGGGTTTTACCTTTGGAATGATCTGCCTTTGTTTGATACCTTTACTTCTCCTGTCAAGATATTAAAAAACGGTTTTGGTGAATCAAAAAAAAAAAGAACACACGGCGTCCGGATTTGGGTTAGTTGGGCAAAGCCACGCCTTGCAGGTTAGACCGAGAGACGGAGGGCGCAGTGGTCAGTGGTCAGTGGACAGACACAAGTGCAACGACACGGCTGTTGTCCCCTCCTCTCCAAAGACCCCACGGGGTCCTGCCTACATGGGAACAGCAGCTTGCTTTAGCGACCTTCCGTGCATGCTGGCAGCTGGACGCTGAGTACGACTGTCCCTAAATTAACACGCCCTTTGGTCCTGGGGCTATTTGGAGGTGCCAGCGTTGTGTATAAAGCAAAATACGCACGATGCATGGATTGCTATGGAGAGGTCGATGGATGCAATGTCTGTGGATAGCCAGCAGGTGGCGTGGAGGTTAAGGCGCTGGATCCCACGTGGTTGTCTACATGGTTCGAGTCTCAGACCCGGTGGCTTGAAAAATCACACTGGGCGTGTGTGCGTGCGTGCCCAAAATCCCGAGAGGAGAATGGAGGAGAAGGGATGGCGGCATGACCATCCCCACCAAAATAATTGACATACCAGAAGGTGAAGAAACTAATAAAGGCATTGATAATCTATTCCATGAAATTCTGGAAGAAAGCTTTCCAAATCTAGAGAGGCATTTAAACATCCAGACACAAGAAATACAAAGAGCCCCAAGTAGAATCAATCCAAGAAGATTCTCTCCATGGCACATCATAGCTTGATTGTCCAAAACCACAGGCAAAGAAAATTTACTAAGATTGGCAAGAGAGAAATGACAAATCAAACAAAGGCTAGCCCATTAGGCTAACATCTGACTGCTCATCAGATACAATATAAGCAAGGAAGGAATGGGGAAATGTATTCGAAGTGTTAAATGAAAAACAATTTCAACTAAGAATACTATACCTGGCAAGATTATCTTTCATATGGGAAAAGCATATAAGAACAATCTCAGATAAACAAAGCCTGAAAGAATTTACCAACTCCAGACCAGCTCTTCAAGAAATTCTGAAAGGAGTACTATACCAAGAAAACTAAAGACAGACAGCAATTATAGAACAAAAACAACCAGGAATATAGCCAACTTAATGGTAGAGACAAGTCCGGAAATATCGATAATAACGTTGAATGTAAATGGATTAAATTCTCGAATCAAGAGACATAGACTGGCTGAATGGTTTAAAAATCAGAAATCCTCCATCTACTGCCCTCAAGAAACCCATGGGGGCGGCAGGTGGCGTGGTGGTTAAAGGCGCTGGACTCCCACATTGCTGACTGGGGTTCAAGTCCCAGACCTGTGTGGCTTGCTTTCTCACTTTCCCTTTCTCTCTCTCTCGTCAAATAAAGAAAAAAAAAAAAACAAACAATAACAAAACAAATGGAAATAAATAATTCTTAAAACAAAACAAAACAAAACAAAACTGGCTTCGGGGTGGGTATGAGCTTCCCTGTCAGCAAGCCTGCCTCTGCACGGGCTGCTGAAGGCTGGAATCCAGGCGTACTCAGGTCACGTGGTGCGCCAGTGGACGGGGGCCCAAGCCTGGTGTAAATGACATCCGGGTTTTTCAACCACCTGCCCAGAGCCAGCCTACCTTGGAGGGCTTTTCTGCAAGCCTAAGGCAGCCAGGCTGGTTTAGGGGGACAGGGAGCAAGCTTTGCTCTGCAAGCCAGGTGGGGGGATGCGGAGATACACTTAGGGGACAGAAAACTCGCTGCTTCTGGGGTTCGGCAATCCTGCAAAGCTGAAGTGGAGCACCGGCCGCCAGGTG